AATAAAAGATAAACATACACAAAATCAACCGTACCAGTGTGAAAAGTCCAACTCCAAGCAACACGCTGAGATTTCGGAGTGTGTGATGGAGGTCTGCCAGGACATCACTCCCCTCTCCGGGCACACAGTCATTGAAAAGGGTGAATGGCAGGCCGTAGAAGTAGCTGAAGCCATGCTGGTTCGGATGGTGGCAGTGGTCCCCTCTGTGTTCACAGTTCACGCCCAAATGCCACTTACCTGCAGAGACACAGAGAGAAACAGATGGAGTACCAGACACTCGGAGACAGAGGAGAAACAGGAAGACACGTCAGACAAATTTCAACATCCTACATACACCTGGACATCTTTCTCTTACTTGCCAAATACAAACCCCACTGGTTTGTGTATTCTGTCGGGGCCCAAGAAGTTTTAAGTTTTTCCTCATACTTTCTAAACTACTGAACACTAAACACACACGCATTTCAATTTTATTCTATATAGACACATCTAGCATGTAAACAAGTGTCATTCTGAACATCTGACCTGCTGAAGTGTCAATAACTGTCCTTTCTCTGCTGCCTGGGGATGGGTGAGAAGAAATGTCACATTATGCTATCTCACCCACTAGGCTGGTGGTGTATCCTTGTTGCTGCAGCCTCTTCGCAAAGGTGGTCTCACTGGGTGGCAGCCCCCCTGAACCTCCAAGGAACAGCAGCACCTGCACACGGCCTGTGCTACCCATTCCTAGACAACAGATACGTGTAAAAATAAAATGAAATATAGCCACAAGCTATTCTAATTCTGGGGTTTACGGCCCCCTAATTAGACATTTCTAATTAGTTGTACATACGTGGTTCAATTTTGTTATGAAACACATTCTACAGGATATGTGATGATTGGACACACAATTTCTGGTTTATAGACTGATTTATTCCACACAAACGTTCTGCATTTGTGGCGGCCCTTAGTGGTCAACTTGCATGAAACTTTTAAGGTATGTTTCTTCTTCTTCATCTACTTATGTTGACATATCCTGTGTTTCAACTTTTGATAAGTTTTGTGAAATTTTTTTTCTCCAAAAAATCAAAATGGCAGACAATCTAGTTAGAAAGGCTTTAGTGGTACAAAAGGTTTTTGTCTAGAGCACATTTGTGTGTGATTTATGGGCCTTAATTACAGCACCGCCACCTGGGCTTGTTTCATGCCTTGTTTCATGCACATGCAGATTATTTCCAGTTATTGGGCCAGGTTTCATGTTTTTAGCTAATTCTAGCTCACAGCAATTGGAGCTTTTGCAGCAGACAAATACTAACAATACTAATATTTAGCAGTCACAAAATCAATAGGGTTTCAGCGCCACCAGAGCTTAAACCCCTAACAAACAAATATGGAACATACTGTCAATCATTGCTGTATAAATACGACCAGGATGTTTATCTGTTACCTGAGCGGAGGGCATAACGGCCCGTCATAAAAGCGGCCCGGCTCGGAGTGCAGAGGGGAGCAGCTGCAATATGGTGAGTCAACTTTACACCTTCAGAAGCAAGTCTGTCTATGTTGGGAGTCCTACAGGGACAGAGCAGAGACATATACTGTAGATAATGTAATAAATACACATAAAATGTCCAGTCAGCACATCAGAGTGAGACAAGACACAGAGATACTGACAAACCATAGACTATATAGAGTAGACACAGAGATAATAGAAGCAGGAAATGAGTGAGTAAAAGGAAAGAGAAAGAAAGACACAGAACCATGACACATTTGTTAGGACTGACCGCTGACAGTATATTGAACTGACCTGATGGTATCATTACCGTAGCAACCTATATCGCCGATGCCGAGGTCGTCCACCATCATCAGGACAAAGTTGGGCTTCCTGTCCACCTCCTCCCCTGTGACATCTCTCCCTGCTGCCAGGAGCAGGGAGAGGAGAAGCTGTTCCAACAGGAGGGACCTTATGGTGAAAGATTAAAGTCAAATAAAAATAAATAATAATGCTGGAATATAACTCAAGCACTGTACTTAAGGTAAACCTACTTCTTGTATTTCCATTTAATGCAACATTATATTTTCACTCCACTACATCTGAAAGGGAAATATTGTACTTTTTACTCCACTATATTTGTCTGACAGTTTTAGCTACTAGATCATATGATTTTTCATTCCTTTCCTGTCCAGAGAAAGATTTCTGAATTTAAAATGTTATGATAAACTGAAGGATTAAGGGATCCTTTGTCAGCTGAGAAAATGATCCTACTTCTTACATAAAACGCCCTGCAATGTGTACAGAGCACTGATTTAACTGACTGTTAATCTTGTGTTTACCCATCCATCCTCATTAATATAGGAAAAGCCATTAAATATGAAATTAAATATGTCACTCATTTACAGAAGGTTAAAATCTGAATACTTCTCCCATAACTGCTTTTCAACTTTCCAGTTTTTGCCCTACAGTTGTGCCCTAACTATTCACTGCCCTTTCAGTCCAGCTGGTTCCTTTTCACTTCAGACCAGGGCACCTTGCCAAGAACCGAGGAAGCACTCCAATAAACATCGCAGTGACTTCTGCCTTTCACAGCAGGAATGATCGGTGTCCTCCGCTGACAGTAAATAAACTCGTCCTGTACTGTGCAGACTGATGTCGCACTGTTTAGGTAAACATTAAGTTTATAAGTATAAACTTTAACTGTAGCTGAGGTGCCAAGTGTGAACACAGTCTGCAGTGTCTTGAAGGGGAAAATCGTCGACATCAGGTGGTCGCATTTTCGCACTTTAGTTTTTTGTTCCTATATTTTTTATTTTATTCTGCTGGTTTCACGGCAATTAAAGCCAAAAGACACCGCATGTGCTGTTGTTTTAAAAAGCCAAAGGGGACTCACCTCATACCTGCACAGTGTACTGATTCATAAATCTACAAGGAGGTTACACATCTCGCAGTACATTTCCCTCCACGTCTGCTAAAGACACCGGGTCCGCCTCTCTGACTCTACAGTACTGATTGGCTTATCGGCGCACAGCACGGTTCCCTTAATGTGTGAAGTAAATGCGCACAGAAAAAAAAAGCGCACTGGGCCCCTGAAACGATTAAAGATAGTAAAAATGTTTCCCCTTTTTCTTGTGAAATAGCTTACTTTGACCTCTTCAGGTACCTAAAAATCTTCAAATGAGGAAGTCTAAGAAAGAAACACTGCTTTTTATGTAAAGTGTTTACAACTCATGTCCACACAAAGGCCATTACCTGAGATGGGAGGTCTCAGGAAGACAGCTTTTCATTTTAAGGAGTCATAAATAAAAAACACTGGAACATCAGTGGGATGCACCCCACAGTCCATAGTTGGCATCTTCTGCTTTAGTTTCCAGATGCTGATGCTGACATGCAGTTATCCTGCTGTTTTGTTCAATTTCCCATCCATACTAACACCTCCACACAACACTGGATAAGCTAAAGAGCAGCTTCAGCAACAGACTCCTTCAACCCCGCTGCTCTAAGGAAC